AATCCTTGGACTGACATTCAACAAGAATACCTGCGCATCCTCTTTTACTGAGTTGGGGGAGTTCTGCAGCCAATGAGTCCGAACAGATTTGTTACCTCCTTGCAACAGGATTTCTCTGGTTACTTATTGTACGTATAATTAGAAAAAGACGCATAATATTTAACTTAGAAGCTTGATAACTGCAATACCAAAGTAACGTTTTTCCTGCATCTTGCAAGTCTATTTTAAGCTTTACCAATTTTCTAACATTCTGAAAATTTGTGAAATTGTAATGCGATCGCACATAAGTCGAGCAGTGTTTTCCAAATCTTTATGTACCAAAAATTTACTACTAAGACCGACCAAAGTTGTAATTGGCAAATGCGTGAGCCCGTGAATATCGAGATGATAGGGATAATTCTTCAGATGTGTAAATGCAGCCGCAAAGTGAACGTCTCAAGCTCAGGAGTTTATTGTGAGGTCGCTTTGCCAGAAGTCAGACATTACCCATTTCGCTTCAAATTGCATCGTTTCCACCGGCATTGTCGTGTGCGTCAAAAACTTTCCTTCTACAAAGTGTAGGGCTTAACCCCAGAGTTGCATTTGTAGCTATCACATGTGTACTATTTCTAAGTGAAACGGCTGTTTTAAATATTATACCTGTTGAATTCAAGGATAATATTGATTTGTAATGTTGTGTACACATGTTATGTACTCATACAATTATCACTTATGTCAATCAATCATCACCACTGATCACTAATCTTTTTCTTCCATTTTACTCCCTTCGGTTCTCCAGCCTTCATATCTTTGCGAACAATTGATTTCAAAATGGTCACATCTACGTGCCTGCAGTTCTCGTCGCTCAAGTGTTTAATTGGTGTAAGCCTTTGCTTTACGCTTCATTCAGCTGTTAGTCACGTCAACGACCGTGGCCAAGTCGGCCCTGGACCCCAACATCTCCCGACGCATAACACGTCCGCACTTTTAAATGATTCTTTCCCGCTACATGATGTAGCGCAAAAGTCCGAGCTTGACATTGATGCCGGCGTTGAGGATGCTAGGGGATTGCTTCCTGATAGCATTATTTCTACTGCTCGCAACAGACTGGATACGTTTCTTGACACGTTTCGGCCCGAACTATCGGTTCTTAGAACACCGCTTCTTTCGAATGGTATTGAACACGGCCATTCCAGCGTAGAACACGATGGGAATGCACTTAGAAGTGATCTTTCCAGTGGCGTCAAGGACGTTATTGTTTACGAGAGAGACGATGGCATAGCATCGGCGGTCAATAAAATTGGTCGCTCGGAAAAAGAAGTTGATGATAAAGCCAAAAAGCGGATGTTCGATCTTTTAGAGGTCGAAGTGCGGAGTAAGAAACAAGACAGTGAATTGCTTTCCATTATTCAACGGGGTCAAAGTTCAGAGGATGAATCTGTAACGTCCTTTTACGACTTTGCGTTGCTTCACATGCTTAAACACAAGAATTCTGCTCAAGTCGTACACGAGAAATGGGTCAAAGACGGAGTTATTATTAAAGAAATCCGGAGATTCTTACAGAAACATGTACTAGATACAGTTCCCTTCTTTAAGAGCAATATGGCAAGCTTGTTGCTATCGCACGTCGGTTATTGTTGGAAACATAAAAGTGGTGAGCTCACCGTTGAGGAACTGCTCGAATATTTCGAACAGATAAAATTGATGGAAGACGATGTCGTTCGGATGGCTGTAGGCGCACG